CTCTCCTTTCCCCTCACCCTCTCCTTTCCCCTCACCCTCTCCTTTCCCCTCACCCTCTCCTTTCCCCTCACCCTCTCCTTTCCCCTCACACTCTCCTTTCCCTCACACTCTCCTTTCTCCCCGCAGGAAACTGGCAGAGCTGAGCCTGGACGAATTCCTCGCCGCCGGCTCGGACTCAGAGCATGACGGCGGCTGGGAGGAGGAGGAGGAGGAGAAGAAGAAGAAGAAGAAGAAGAAGGAGGATGATGATGAGGGTGGCAGAGCCCTGAACGGAGCTGCAAGGCGGCGGCGGCCGAGTGGGAAGGCAGGACAGGAGCTGCAGGCACGGCCAGCCAGGTGAGAGCTGGGGGAGCTCAGCCTTGGAGCCTTGAACAACGAATAAACACCTCAATGCAATAAATATTTAATTCTTCCCCAGCAGGAAGAAGGGAAAGGCATCCGAACACAAAGATCAGCTCTCCAGGCTGAAGGACAGAGATCCTGAATTTTATAAGTTTTTGGAGGAAAATGATCGAAAGTTGCTGGATTTTGATGCCTCGGACAGCTCTGAGGAGGAGGAGCCTCTGCACAGACCCCCTGATAAACTCGAGGTACCTGGTTGGGAGTGCTGGGATCAATTTATTCAATTTCATCAGTGCCAGCCCTGAGCCATGGAATGTTTGGGTTGGGTTTGGAATGGACCTTAAAACTCATCCAGCTCCAACCCCAACACCTTCCACCATCCCAGGCTGCTTCAAGCCCTGCCCATCCTGCCCGGGACATTTCCAGGGATGGGGCAGCCAGAGCTGCTGTGGGAAATCCATTCCAGGGCCTCATGACCCTTACAGGGAGCAATTTATTCCCAATATAAATATATAAAAAATATATAAATATATAAAAATATATATAAGTATAAATAAATATATATAAACATATATAAAATATATAAAAATAAATATAATATTCCAATCTAAACCATTCCAGCTTTCCCCAGAGTGCTGGGAGYAGCATTAATAAAGCCAGCCCTGCCTGCCTTCCTCCTCAGCAGCTGCTCTGCAGAAGAGCTGGGGCCAGGCAGGAATTGTAGAAACCTTTCCTCARTCCTCCTGCTGATCTCTTTAGGAAGCCAGCGATGAAGATGATGAAGATGAAGATGAAGAACAAGAAAAAGTCAAAAGGAAGAAAGTTTCCTTCATCCACGTGAGCTTGAAAATGGTGGAAGAATGGAAAAAGGCAGCCCAGGTGAGCAGGGAGTTGGAACCAAAGCTCTGGGGAGTTCTCCTCACTGCCTAGAAAATGCCAGCTTTGGATTTGTTCATCTGTCAAAGTTTATGTCCCGTGCCCCCAGAGGTCTCATTCCTTCAGCAGGACTTTGTCATTTTTCTTGGGCTGCAAATTAAAGAACTTCCATTCTTTTTAAGGAKGAAGCTGGAGAAATGTGGCCCAGAAGAGGCCAGAATGATCAAATTTGGATTTTTCACTCTGTTGCTAAACTTTTGGTAGCTCCAGGTGCTTTCTCAATCACATTTTAAGTAGTGGTGGAGTAGCCAAGGGGAATGAAGTTCAAATTGGAAATTGCTTGCTACTGATTAATTATATCTCAAGCTTTAGCAATTAAAATCCAGTTTTAAAGCAGGGGGAGGCCATTGTGTTTGTTAACTCTGTCCTGATGCTTTTCCTTCATGGTGGAGGATGAAGCTGTCCTTGCCATCCAATCTACTGGAAAAACTGGGGGAAAAAAAATCCACTATTCCTGTCCTTATAGCTTCAGAGTTCCAGAAATTCTCTTGCCTTTTCTCAGCAATCCTTTTCCTTCTTTCCCTCAGAAGAATCTGACCCCAAAACTCTTCCATGAGATCACCCAGGCCTACAAGGCAGCGGTGGCAACCACCAAAGGAGACAGCGGGGGTGACCCCAGCAAGTTCCAGGTGACAGACACTGCAGGTGAGGGGAGGGGAGCACTGTCAGGAATTAATTACCCTTTCACTTGTTAATTAATTAGCTCATTTTGCTGTGCAGCTCTGTGCACTGGGATCTTTTCTTTTCAGTGGGGATATTTGGTGCTGTGGGCCTGCAGAGGTGAAAGCTGGCAGTTCTAGTCTTGCTGTTCAGATAAAAAATTCTCTGTGAGGGAAACGGGGGGTTTCCAGAAGGAAATGTAGCAGTTCTGCTGTGGAAATTACTGGCTTCAGTTCCTCAGGGACCTCTTTTCACCTTAGGAAAACCAGGAATAAGTGGAAAATSATTTACAAATGCTTTTGTGGTTTGTTTTACCCAGTGTTCAATGCCCTGGTGTCTTTCTGCATCCGGGACCTCTTCCACCACCTGCACAAGCTGCTGCTCCCCAAAGCCCCCAAGAACAAGCTCAAGTAAGTTGGGGGGATTTGAGACTTTCAGGAAAGCTGCTGGGGGTTTTCAGAGCTGCTTTGGGAGCTGGGAAGGAGCTGGCAGCTTTTCCCAAACCCTGTGTGCCTGAGGGTGCTCCCTGGGCTCTTCTTCCCTTCCCCCCATTGTGTTCCCTGCAATATTAAACTCCAGGCATTTGCAGGGAATGTCAGGGAATGTGTGGCTTTGGGAAAAGGCTGGAATTGCACTCAGGATTCAGTTCAGACCCTGGAAGTTGCATTTCAGAGGAAAGGACCAACCTTTCTGCAGTGTCACCAGAGTGTGACCCCAGTTCCTCCTGCAGTTCATGCTTTGCAGGCGTTGTGGTTGCAAGGAATTGATGTCACTGCTCATTCTGCTGCTGAAATCTGATTTATTTGAGTTTTTTTTAAGCTAAACCCAACTCTTGCTCCTTTCCAGGATGGTTCTCCCTTCCACCAGCCCCCTGTGGGGAAAGCTGCGACTGGACATCAAAGTTTATCTGGGCTGTACCATACAAGTAAGAAATATGTTCATTTTCTGGGGTCAGTTTGTGCCTTGCTGGGTTATTTAGGATATTGTGGAGTTTCATATTTTTGATGTGTTTGTGTTCATCCAGTTCCCTGCCTTGTTTTGGTCGAATTAATGATTTGGAGGTTGACASGATGCTTGGGTCAGAATGGGTAAAGCAGTACAGAAGGGTTGAATTAACATTCTGGCAGCTCTCTCTGTTTTCATTTGTCTGGCAGATTAATATTTAATAGGCTTTAAAGTCATTTGCAGTCTCTGCTCCTGCATTCTGCATCATTAATTTCATTTTTGGGGCTGTGCTCTTTCCTCTTGAGGTAAATATTGAGATGTTSTGTTGGTATCCTCACATGTGACATCTCTGGCTATGATAATGTTCCATCCAAAATTACTGGTGTCTGCTGTTTCAGAGACAATTTGTGGATTATTTCTGAAGGACACTTCTGAGATATTCAATTTTTCTTGAGATTGCTTTATTGTGCATCCTCAAATCAKAATATTAAAACCAAAACAGTGCTGAAATATTAATTCTTCAGCAGCTGAGGGAAAGGAGTTCCAGGAGAGACAGCCYAAGTGTCCCTTAGCTGGGAGCTGGCACAATGACTTGGCAAAAAGAGCAATTTGATCTGGAGAGCTTTTTCTTTTTTTTCCTTCTCTCAAGCTGTGGTGCCTCTCTCCAGCAGCAGCGGATTGCAGGGAAGGAAAAGCTGGGAATGCAGGGAAGGAAAAGCTGGGATTGCAGGGAAGGAAAAGCTGGGATTGCAGGGAAGGAAAAGCTGGGATTGCAGGGAAGGAAAAGCTGGGATTGCAGGGAAGGAAAAGCTGGGAATGCAGGGAAGGAAAAGCTGGGATTGCAGTCCCTGGGAGCCATCCCTACTCCTGGCCTGGCTCCTCAGTCCCAGCCTTCACCACAGGGGTTTATTTTAACAAAATCTTCTCCTTTTTCATGTGTGAGGGACTTGACAAAGTCTGCTCAGTCCAGAGCCTTTGCAGAGCGAGGAGGAGGCTGAGGGGGCAGATGAAATGTGGACAAAATGCCTGTGCTGCTTCCAGCACTGGGACTGCATCAGGCTGAGCCTCTCAGAGTCACCTGGAGCTCACCTTGGCTTTGAGTTGGAAACTGCAACATCTCTGGGTTTGGCTGCACAACCTGGAAATGCAGATCCTGGCTCCTGATCTTTGTCAAAGAATGCAGATCCCGGTTCCTGATCTTTGTCAAAGAATGCAGATTCTGGTTCCTGATCTTTGTCAAAGAATGCAGATTCTGGTTCCTGATCTTTGTCAAAGAATGCAGATCCTGGTTCCTGATCTTTGTCAAAGAATGCAGATCCTGGTTCCTGATCTCTGTCAAAGCCTTTCCTTGAGGTGCAGTCACCTCCTGATGCCCAAAGGATTCCAGCTTTGCACTGGGAAATCCTGGGGAAGCCCAGTGTGGTCTCAGGCAGCTCAGGGGATGTTTCCTTGTGCAGAGCGAGGGTGAATCGGGCTGTTTGACACAACTGGGTGTCCCGAACTGTGCATAAATGGAGATTTCACAGCGTACACAGAGGAGGTGCCACCTTCAGGATGAGCCATGAACCATCGGGTGCAGCATCCTGAGCTCCCTGAGCCAGGATGAGGGACCTGCAGGGCAGTTCTTCACCCTGCCATGGGTCTGCACCTTCCTGCTCCGGTGTTGGGGTTTGTTTGAGCTCCTTCCTGACACAGGAGGGTTTGGGAACAGGAAATTCCAGCTGGGAGAGGCAGAGTGGATGAGCTCTGCCCGCTGCTGACGAGGTCAGAGCTCTGCCCGCTGCTGGTGAGCTCTGCCCGCTGCTGGTGAGCTCTGCCCGCTGCTGGTGAGCTCTGCCCGCTGGCGATGAGCTCTGCCCGCTGGCGATGAGCTCTGCCCGCTGGCGATGAGCTCTGCCCGCTGGCGATGAGCTCTGCCCGCT